CCACTAAGTTCATGTCAGAGACAATCCCTGTTCCCCTTATGAGGGAACCCACTTGGACACTGAGCTGCAACAGGCTACATCTGTGCAGGGGTTCTAAGTTATCTCCATGCATGGTCCTTGGCTGGAGTATCAGTCTCAGAAAAGACCCCTGTGCCCAGATTTTTTGGTTCTGTTGCTCTCCTTGTGAAGCTCCTATCTCCTGCCAGTCTTTCTATCTCCCTCTTCTTTCATAAGATTCCCTGCACTCTGCCCAAAGTTTGGCTATGAGTCTCAGCATCTGCTTTGATACCCTATTGGGTAGAGTCTTTCAGAGGCCCTCTGTGGTAGGCTCCTGTCCTGTTCCCTGTTTTCTCCTTCTTCCAATGTCCATCTCCTTTGCTGGGAAAGTTTCTTTTTCTTACTTTATTTCCTCATTTGTTTGTTACTTTCTTAATCTAATAACCCCTTAACAAGGCCATTGATTTTTATTAAAATTTAAATAATGGCATTTTTGATGAATATATGAAAGATCTTTATATCAGATGCTACAAAAACACATCTTGGGAGTGTTACAGTGCCTCATTTACAAAATGTTTTATCAGATATGATATTTTATGTCTACTTCTCAGAACATTCAACTCATTATTTCTCCTCTGTGAAAATAACTCAGTCAGACCCCATGTGGTCCAGAAACTATGGGTAATATAAAGGACATTCCCATCCTGTTAGAAAGTATCCTAATACTAAAAAGTGTCAAGACACACAGCTTGAATAGAAAATATTCCCTTGTGGGGAATACTAGCTTAAATCTAGAATTAATACTGATGACTTACTTCCAACTTGATATAACACTGGAGCTTTCTCAGAATTGCTAATGTGTTTTGAGAGGCTGGAGAGACGGCTCAGGGTTACCACACTGGCTGTTCTTCCCAAGGACCTGTTTTGATTCCAACACTCAGGTATTGAGTCACAACCATCTCTTACTGCGGTTTTAGAGAATATGGGACCCTCTTCTGGCCTCCACAGTCACTGCATGAATGTGATGGACAGACATCTGCAGGTACAACACCCATACACATAAAATCTTTTTAATAATAATAATAAAAAAATAATGTGATTTGAGTTCTTTGGTGGATTATCTTAGAAACTTCTAGGTAATAATCACACAGCACTTAATATTTTAGTTCTGAAAGTCAATGTGAAGACATTTACTGCTCTGTTGCTTCACTGTGACCAGCTGCTTCCGGCTCCTGCTGCCATGATTTCCACACTGTAAGGAGCAGCACCCCCATCCTGAGCTGGGTGGAAAATGGTGTCAGATGCTTTTTGAACACCTCATGTGAGGCGGCCTCTCCCAGGGTTTATTTGTAGGACTCACACAACTCGACCAAAAGCTATATACTCTCTGCTGTGGTTTCTTCCAGCAGAAATGCACAAAACAAAACCAACAAAAACTAAGGCCCATAAGGCCCAGTCAGAGCTTCGGGGCATCCCCTCCCACCTGCCTCAGTACAGTACACTTAATCCCTCCTGCAATTCCTGGAAAGTTTATCTACAGGGTCACACAGGTGTTCTCTGCTGGCATCAACCAAAATTCCAGACACCAAAAAGAAATCGGTGTTGGTGTAAAAGGCATTATTCATTCACATTTTGTAGACAGCAAGACACTCACAGCAATTCTCAGAATGCTAGGATCCTCCCTCATGTCCAAGATTCTAGAGAGCTTCTCAGGGCATTTCTCACAGGCAGGTCTCGGGCAGGTCTCGCCGTGCTGTCCTACAGAGTTGTAGGAGCCCTAAGAACACTATAGTAATTCTCCGTACACCATACCCATTCAGAGCCTGGTGGCTCTACTTGTCCAAGCAGAACTTGAGTGATAAATTTGACATTTTTAGACAGTGAATGGGGAGGAAAAAAAGAGGTTTCTCAAAGAAATACAGTGTGGTGGCATTACCTGAACTAGTCTCTCGGTAGAGGGCTGAGGCCCTTCTCAGCCTTTGTAATTTTAGAAAGCCTTTAAATCTAGGCCTGCACTTATTAATGAGAGCTTAAAACTAGAGAGTGCCAACCTTTCTCAAGTGCATTTGCTTTCAGAAATGGAAATTAATAATAAGAGATTCTGTTCACAGTGCTAATGTCATTTGGCATGAAAATACCCTAGCATCTTAATTTTCCCACACTCCTCAGGAGAGACAGTTGGTAACTCTTGCTTCTCTGTCCATTTCACTGGTCCCTGACAGCTCAGGTTCCAGGATCAGCAAGGATAAATACCAATGGCCAACCTCAGAATATGGGTTAAGGGACAATATCAGCTAATTTAATACCACATCCCAAGGGATATGAAACAATTTCCTTCTGAATGATCAACGGGTTGGAAATTATGGAACTGGAAACTAAGTTTGACTTTTTGAGGTTAAGTCTTTGGCTTTTTCTGTGAACCCTAAAATTGTATTTGATAAGGCTTGGGTTAGAGTGAGCAAGAAAAAGAAGGTGAAGGAAGTTTGTGATCATCACAGCAACAGCCTCCTCATCTTTCCTTGGGGGCAGCAAATGAAAAGAAGAAAATGACAACTTGCTAATTGTCCTGAACTGCTTCAGACAGGTCTGGTTTTATGCCAAGGAGCACAATTAAATTCACAGAAATACCCTTTGCAACGCAAGAGCCTCTTTCCTGGAAGCAGGGGAGGCCAAGAGAAAGAGCAGAAAAAACAATTTCTTCAAATTGTTCTTACAACACCCATTTTTTTCCTTATAGGCTTTGAAGAAAGCCAAAAATAATTTTGAAAAATCTAAATACATATCAACAGTGAATTGCCAGATGCCCTTTGGGGGATGTTAGCCTAGCCATTTGAGATAAGCATTGTGACTTGTAATCAAGCTATCTTGATCTGTCGTTCATCTCAGGCAATTAACAACAAACACTATGTTTTATGCAGCTTCCCAAGAGGTTCTCAGTCTTGCAGCTCATGTGCCTGAAGCATTCAACAGTGGTTTTATGTGATTTAAAAGGTGTCATTTTAGCTGGGTGTGGTAGTACAGACCTTTAATCCCAGCACTCAGGAAGACAGGGAAACAGGCAGATTGTTGTGAGTCTGAGGACAGCCTGGTCTACAAAGTGAGTTCAGGACAGCCAGGTTACACAGAGAAACCCTGTCTCGGAAAACCCAATCCATCCATCCATCCATCCATCCATCCATCCATCCATCCATACACACACACACACACACACACACACACACACACACACAAAATAAATATGTGCTGTGTGCTCATAGCTAACCCTGACAGAACAAGGCTACTTTAAGGCCACACAAATTTGGAGCCTGATTCTATTTCGGTGTTGTCCTTTAGACCCCTTCTGTGCTCCACATGTAGACTTTCTCCTAACAAAACAGATTAATTTCTGATGACTTCATTAGTTACTGCATGTGTGACAAGCAGGTCCATAGAGAACTGTAATACTCACTTGCCTTAAGTGTTATGAAGCCACAATAAAGCAGAGCATTGGACTTTACTAAATATCTGTGCTTATTCTTTTTGATAATTGCCACCGTAAACAAAGGGAGTAAAGCCTGAAGCACAGAAGAAGATGAATTCAGGTCACTAGGTATTAGAGTAGAGTGTTGCAACACATGCACACAGATAAACGATTTAGACAGCCTTTGCCTTCTAGGCGCTAAACAAAAGAAATTAGAAAACCAGTAGAGACAGCTGATGACACTGCAACCTAAGCATGATGCACAGACACAGACCAAACATGAACTAAAGCCAGACTAGACCCTGTCCCCAAAACTTTCCTTTAAAATATGTGTTTGAGATGCTGGCAACCCAGACATTCACTGATTTTCTTTCACAGGTCCAGCCTCCCACTGGATATCCTTCCCAAGGATAGTCTTCATTTTCCAGTGTCTGTTTAGCTCCATTCCAAATCCTCAAGTCTACTTCCCCACACGGTATCAGCAGGTGGCCACATATGTCTGCTCTTGGAAATGGCAGTCAAGAAGACAAATTTGTATTTGGTGGAAGAATATGTTGTGATTAACACTGAAAAGGTGGAACCTGTAGTGCTGGTCAATACAGCCTGGCCAGAAATAACTGTACACTGTAATCACATCACTTTCTTTATGAAAGATTAAAGATTGTTACCATTGTTACTGCTCCACCTGAAATTCTCAGGAAGAAATGTCATTTGTGGACTATCTCTAAACTACAGCCACCACCAAGTGTTTCCATAAGGGGGAAATTACTTAAGTAACAGCATGTTTAAAACATATGGGAACTGGGAAGAGACCAGTGGAAGGGTTGGTGGTGAGACTGACTATAGAATCTGTGTGAACAGCACAAAAATAGAATTCAAGTCTTCCGGTTTAAAAAGTTTGAACTCCTATACTGTAGTCACAGCAAGTAGTGGTGAGGTATGCTCCTCTTTTGCACATGGTGCCTGTGTGTGAGGCACGGCCTCTTCTCTATCATGGTGCCTCCAGCATGGTACCTATGTGTCTGATAAAATGACCAACTCATAAAGGCAGCCCTGGTTACAACATAAGCCATGCACATCTGGAGCCAGTCTTCCAAGTCTAACTTAGTGCCTGTGATAGGCTCCAACTCAGCATTCCCCTTTTGGGGAAACTGGTTCTTTACATGGTTTCTTAAATGTGAATGATAAGGATGCCACTCAAGCACTCAGGGTGTGTCTGTCAGTTTAAGACAGAGTTTAAGAGCAGGCGGTGTACCTCAAATTGGTGGAGTACTTGATTAGAATACATAAGCCCCTTTATCACCACAAGAACACGGGGTGGTGTCAAATATCTGTAATTGCAGTGCTTGAGAGATGGAGGTTCAAGTGTTCCTCCATTGAGATTAGAAGCTCAAGATCAACCTCACATATGTGGCAACTTCCGGAACAGTCTGGGCTACAAAAGACCCTGTCACAAAAGAAACCAAACAGACAAACCAGAGTATAACACAAACAGAGATCCTTAAGTTTTTTTTTGTTTTTTTTTTTTCCTTTCCAATCACAGGGGCTGTGAAATTTCCTGGTATGCATGAGTACAGCAGGTCTGAAAGGAAAGAGCAGAATCTGTCCACAAAAAGAGCCACTGAGCTCCTAATGCACAGTGGTGAAGAGAAATAAAGGTCTTCTGGCTCATCGTGGTACTCCTCCCTACCGCCCCTCATTTTCCGAGATGTAGCACACAGGAAGCCTCGACTCTTACTTGGCATCTCTGCAGTAAACCTGTCTATGGGACCCAACATTCCATTAAATTTGCATGCAATGAGTATAGAATGTTGCCTTGACTCTTCTTCCCGTAGTTTCTTCCTACCATGGGATATGATTCAATTCAACATTTCCATTCACTTCAACAGATTATATATATATATATATATATATATATCAGGCATCTCTTTCTCTGCCTGTTGGTTTATGAAGGACTGTGGTGTATTAAGAATCATGAACACATGTCCCTATGTAAAGTTTTAGTAACTCTAATTATGGTGACCACAGGCCAAATTTATTTCCTAGAAAACCAATTAAAATTGGTGCTCAGCCAAAGTTTCTGGATGTGTTTGCACCCCCAGTGTACAGTTTAGTATAACCCCACATGAGTCATAAATGAACAATTCAGTATTTCCAATCCCTCTTGCTTTTAAGAATCTAATCAAATAAAGAAGAATAAATTCTGCTTGACACATTGATAAAGATTGAAGAAGGAAATATTTCAAAGGCAACCAGGCTTTACTCAGCAGCTCAGGCTAAGCCACCTTCGTGTCTTATAAGAATACTGCCAATCAACTTTGGTCTTGCATTTGTCAAAATGTAATTAGAGTGTAGGAAGAAGTATTTGAAAAGGGATGGGATTATTTATAAAAGTTTTTGAATAAATCTTCCTGGGTCAGGAGATTTGCCCTGTAGCAAGAATTTAATACATAAGTAAAACTCCTTGGGCATCTCTTGCTCTTAAGAAGTTTTTTTAAAATTCTCAACCAAGGGGAACATGAGGAAATAAAACTTTTCAAAGAAATGTTAGAAATGGATTGGCAAAACCCAATTTGCTCTCCACTATAATGGTATTATTCCATTTCTGCATTAAAGAATAATATCCATAACATGAAGATTACACCAAGTGCCCTGTTACAGGATCCAAACCCAGAGGCAGTCATCTCCGACGTGCTTCTGATTGCACTTGGAATGACACACAGAATGTTATGCAGAGAAGTTCAGTGTCAGCAAGGCATGCAAGGCTGCTGCAAAAGGCTGAGCCTAGCCCTCAAATCAAGAATGGAGGAGATATGAGACAAAAAGAGAGAAGCATTTGTCTACTGAATGATGCTGAGAATATGAACTGATCATCATTTGACTTTCTCTTGATAAAAGGTTACACACACATACATGAAGAACACATGACAAGGATGTGTATGTCTATACAGCATAGTATACCACTTGAGAGAATTGATATAAAATCATAGAAACTTTGTTGCTATTCAGCAAAACATCCACACATGAAGTCCCACCTTCCCTTTTGAAACATTTTATGTTGAGCTATATCTTTGCTGCTTTTTATAGAGAAATGCCAGACTTAACTAGATGTACCAGTCAGGTTTTCTCTCATAAGCTGAACCTATTATGCTGACCCTATTAGGGAGTTGGGTTGAGAGGTGTTCAGCGCTGCTCTCTGAGATCAGCAAAAAGATCCCAGAGATTGATTAGTGATGTCTATCATAGTGTACAATGGAATGCACTAGTATGAATATTTCATCTCTGCTTTAGACTTATCTGAGGTTGGAAAAGTGGTGGACTTAGTCCTGAAGAGGTAGGCACGATGTAATAGTCAAGTACTCAGAAAGTCTGACATTTGGGATCCACTGATCCATTCTCCCTGGGGTTGAAAACCACAGGCTGAGCCAGCCGTGATTAGCATCTCCGATGCATCAAAGTCAGGCATTCCTTCTTGTTGCTGAGCTCCTTTGCACATGCATTGCTACTAGACTTTTCAGAGACCCTGCGTACAGGGACGTTCTCCTGCAATCTCAGTTCCTTCGCCGTCTTCTGGAAAGCATTGTACTTCACCGTCCCCTGAAGACTGTCTCTTCTTGATTTTGATTTGACTTTTTCTCCTACTCTCCTTCCCAGTGTCCCTTCTCCATAATATCTGTATAGAAAAATATCAGTTGCCTAAGCAGTGACATGTCTGTGGTTAGGATCCCAGACTCACGACTCATGTAGTATGCAAACAGTAGAGAGAGTTTATTTTCTGCAGAACTCCAGCATGGACAAAATGGTGAAGAACTAGCTTGCAGGCCATTTATAGACAGTCGGTTAGGGGAATTCCAGGGATGAATAGGTCACCTTTAGCCTGATTGGTGGGCAGCCAGCCAAAGGGTTCAGGGACAATCCTAATTGGCCAGGGGCTTAGGGACTTTCCCAAGTAGCTATGTTGTAACTATGTCTGGCCCAGCCAGACTTTTTGGCTGATGCTGATTGGCTGCCCTTTCCCTTTGGGTTCTTTTTTTAGAATCCAAAACTAAAACTGAAACTGAAGCCTAGTCAGGTAGAGTTAAGAATAAATCAGACTGGCCTGATGGCGGGTCAGCTGGAATTAAGCCCTCTCACTACCATTGCTCATTCAACTTCAGTGGGTGGCGTTAGCCTTAGGGACCAAAGGTTTAACACTGTCCAGCCTTTTTTAAGTCTTAAATATTACCTCAAAGACTACTGAGTAATAAATAATAGTAATAGTAGGAGGGTAGGATTGTTCTTTCATAGTCACCCAGTGTTTAACATTAAGTTTTGAATTTTACCTGATTTTGCCTTGATGAGAGTTCTCGCTCTCTTATTGTTGAATTGGAGAGTTTATCTTTTAGATTTGATAGAGTATTCTGAAGTGTATTGTGTCACAGCATGTGGGTAAATGATAAGTGGATAAATATATGTGGCTAGATAGAACATAGAAATAGATAACAGGTGGATAATAGATAGATGATAGATGCATAAATATGGATAGATGATAGGTAGATAAGACGCTAGATAGTAGACAGGTGATAGAAGACAGATCTGTGAGAGGTAAGATACAGATAAATACCATATTAACATTTTTCAGCTGATTGTGTTATCACTTACCGTGGATACATTTCAACATGTTTATCCTCAAACAGTGTAATATTAAGTCCATATGTGACAGAGACTGCCATGTTGGCGTCCCTCCTTCACAGCCAATTCTCTACAGTTCTGCTTTGGCACCCATCAGGCCTGCTGAAGATATAGAAGCAATTACCACGGAATTCCTTTTCTAGCCATGATGCAATTCCCTGCCTTTGGTCTGTGTTCAGTTTTAGTCTTAAATTTTTTTTCTGGAAACTTCAGGCTTTGTGACACACAACCTCCAACCACAGATACTAAGTAAGCATTCTAAATTTGCTGACTTCGTTCCTATATGTCCAAGTAAAGTACGGCAGTCAACAAAGTCACCCCACTCTTGCCAGTTCTAATTGCTGTGATTCCCTGGTACTGGTAAAACTCTTTGCAAGGAACACTCATTTTATTTGGGATATTTACAAATGGATCGCCTTAGCTCTCCACATATTTAAATATTCATGAGCATCATGCAGTCTTTTGAGCTGTAAATTTTGTTCTTCAGTGTTGAAATATAAAAAGCCAAGCAGAAAATTCCAAGACTGAAAGAAAAGGCTTAGTTTCTTCTCAACGTGGATAGGTTGTATCAGATCTTCTGAAGATAAAGAAATTATTTAAATGCCCCATGTGCAGACAAAGCAGTAACTTCCCCAAAGAGTGGGCATAACTCAATAGACTTTTTTTTTTTTTTTAGGGAATATTAAAATGTTTCCTTGTTAAGATTTTAAAGGCCTGATTTTTCTTTTTCTGATATAAATGATTTATTTGTTTTCATTCCTTTTGCATGATTTCAAATACTCCAAAAATTCTTTCCATTGAATTTTATTCTGTTTCTGATGAATTCCTCAAAAAAAAAAAAAAAAAAAAAAAAAAAAAAAAAACTAAGGTCTAAAGGTTTGGTTTCAGACATTTTTTTATTATTATTCATAGCTAATTTAAAGAATAATGTCTAAAGGTTTAAAGGAAACAAGCTGATCCTGACTCTGCTTTGTTATTAATGTACAAAACAGTAACTTATTTAGAAATGAAAAATTCCAAAAGTTGTGTTTACTATTAATAATGAATTCCTGGAATTTTAGTTTTTCTGTCCACAGCCCTTTGGTGAATCCTTTTTTACAGGATAGTTTTGTAACATTTAGGGCTACATCAATAGACATTGTCTGATCTAATTTTCATCATGACAGCTCCTCTGATAAGAAAGTTAGGATCCATTGTTGGAATTCATATATTGTTTGATTTAATCTATAAGCAAAGGTTGAAAACTAGAAGGCAAATTATTTTTGAAGTTTTCTGTGCTCCAAGAGGAAACAAGTACATTAATTTAGTCTGAGACACAGCCCTTAAAGCATCTTGTTTGGCATACCTGGTAATCTGTTAAAATTTTTCTTTGGTGATCATCAAATGTCGCAGTGAGCCATTGAAAAACTTTTCTTTTTTCTTTCTTTTTTATGTATATTCTTTTTTTTTAATTTTATTTTTTTCTTATCAGTTACATTTTATTAACTCTGTATCCCGCTCCCTCATTCCCTCCCAATCCCACCCTCCCTCCCTCATCTCCACCCTGCCCCTTTTCAAGTCCACTGATAGGGAGGGACCTCCTCCCCATTCATCTGATCCTGTTTTATACCTGAAGATCCAGGTATCTTCAGGACTGGCTGCAAAGTCCTCCTCTGTGGCCTAACAGGACTGCTCCTCCCTTGGGGGGGGGGGGTCAAAGAGCCAGCCATTGAGTTCCTGTTAGTGGCCTCTTAGCACTTCAGAGTTCTGTGGTCCCTGCATTCAGTGCACATTCACTTGTAGAAACATCTTTCTGCATATTAATTACGTATGATAATACATGAAGGTGGTATCAGAAAGATGATGGAAAAGGAAGTCCTAAGCCTTCTTTGCACCATAGAGATGCTGATTTCATAGAGATGAATTTCCTTTATGAAATCTCCCCACAATCAAAAAGAGACCCCTCTGTTCCACTCAGGCCTAAAACCAAGCTCAGCCAAGCAAGTAATTCCTTCTAGTCGTGGAATGGAGTAACAGAGTAACGACTCTACACTGTGTACAACATACAGCCTTAAGATTTAAAGACACACATAGAAATGCTGACTTCTATGCAAAAAAAGGAAACAAAAGAAGAATATAATTGCATCAAGGAA